TTCAGCAGGCCTCTGGTATGTAATGCATGAAACAACTATGGTTACCTTGCTCGCATGGTTCAATTTTTCTGTGCACTAGAGTGATCCGAAGAGAATCTATTGCCATTTAGTTAACTATTGACTGTTATTGTAATTTAGTGCTGGGGGAATGTACCGTACAGTGTAAATTATGCACTCAGTATGGTCTCTTGGTTGATGTAGATGGATATGTTGTTATGAAAGGTGCACAAACAAGGGTGTGACTGATTTTAGGAGATTTTGTGATTTTGTATTTAATGCTGCTGCTGCTTGGATGACTCTTGCTTCTTGTTTTTTCAATATTGTACATACGGGTGTTAAATGGGTTGGAAATGGCGGTAAAGAGGAAAACCATAATCTTATAGTAAGAAAATAAAAATAATGTGGCAGAGGTGCTCCCTGTCAAGAAGAGCCCAGAGATCACTATCCTATCTCCACGTAATTTTCTGCCTTTGCTCTCCTTCCTTTCCCCCCCTCCCTTAATCCCAATCCACCTTTGCATATCTCCAGAATCTTTTCCTCCTCTTATGGGCTGCTATATGTTGATTTTGTTACATTATCATCAACAGCCACCTTTTGGCATATCATCTTTGACAACATTCTCTTGCTGCCCTTTATGGTCTTTATACTCGCATATATCCTTTTATAATCTTTTAATATTGATGGCCTATCAGAATATAAGCTCATCATTTGAATTCAAGCTATCAATCTTTGCAGTTGGAAATTTAGTTAAGCTATACCATTTTTGGGGGGGTTAAGCCTGACACCTATTTGATAACTTTGGAACTTCATTGGGTTTTTTTATTGAGAATTATGAAACAAGGGGTGAAAAGGCTATAAGAAATGTTAAATATCACTTCTTTAAATGTTTTTCTTCCCCCTCATTCTCACTTGCCTTTAATTGTCAAGGACCAACTCTGCTTAAAGCTTAAGCTGTTAGATTAGGTTCATGAATGATTTTATTTCTCTAATGTCAAATTACAGTGTTTTTGCTCCCCTGTATATTTTAATTATTTGGCTTTTCTTGTTAGTTACATAGTTGTAAACCTGGACTAGTGGAGGAATGAATATGGGGGCTAGGTAGGTCATCTGTTTGACTGCTGGTCTGGCTAAAAATTCCAGCTTTAAAAGAAAAAGGGGAAAAAGTCACAAAAAACTGAATGTCCTGGTTTAATTGTAAAAGATACCCTTTGTTTTCCTGATTTAACACATTTATGTGAGTTTTAACTGTAGTTAGTTATGTGAGTTCTTGAATATGTAAATTAAAGTTTGGAACAAATTGTGTGTATGACTTATTAATATTAATTTGCTTCAGATTATGAAGCTCCTAATGGGATAGGATGTCTTAGTTACTGGGAAGAGCTACCATGTGGAATATATAGTGTGCATGTGGATGCTTCAAATTCAAGTGGATATCTGGTAGGTGAAGTCAAGATACATGAATATACAAACTCAATGTTAAATGAACTTATCAAATGGGAGAGAATTTCTGTTGAACCAAGCTCCAAAGACCTACAGATATTCTGTCATAAGTTATCTAGGGAGCAACGAGCTATGCATCTGGCTTCTTCAGAGGCACTTCCAAATGAAACAGGTGATTAATGTATAACAGTGCCAGAATGCTCCATTTAGTTATTCAATTCTTTAATTGCTGTTCTCATACATTGTAGTTCCTTACTTCCTTTAGCATTGTTTGCCAACACTGTTCTAGCTTTCAAATTTCTATCTTGATATATTTGAATCATTTAATTTCCTTATATAGGTGCTTCAAAGAAGATGATCGTTGTAAATCCTTGAGCTACCCTCTCATGGCTTGCTTTGTCTATCTTTATGTTTTGCTTATTGAGGAGAGAAGTGTCTATTGGTATAATAAATGTTTGCATTAAATGTTTTCACCAGATTTTTCCTTTTTATTTGATCAAATAAGTTACTTATGTTTTTTAGGTACCAAGTGGGTAAAACCATGCATGTGTCATAAATTATTAAGTCAAAAGACAATCTTGGATCTCTCAAGTTTTAATGATAACAAATGAGAGACTTTCTTTTTAAGCAAAGTCAAGTATCTACAAAGGTATACCATATCAGATGAAATATGGAAAATGTATATCATCTATAAGATAAAGAAGATCAAATGAAGAAAAAGACAAAATATCCATTAGAAGCAAAAAGAAAAAAGCAAAATCCTAGATATCACAAGAAAGGCTCTGGAAAAGATTGCTCTGCATTGACTTCAACTACTCTATTTTGTCATAGCTTCTGTCATGCTCATTTTAGAAGGAAATGATGATAAGTAGTCTGCTAGATTAGATAAGAGATACACACTTTGCTGAAAGACAATTAATGCTTGCATTAAATGCATCAATGGTAATCTCTAGGATCAACAAAGAAGATAGCGAAGCAACTCGTGAAGCAAATTGCAAGTTCAACTCAAAGTTGCAATAATAGTCATTTTCTATGAAGCTATTATAAAAGGATCAAACCTTCAAACAACTATAAAAGTGCGACACATATAGAACAAAAGCAATATACATTAAAAAAAATTGTATAGAGAAACATACAAATATACATAGAGCTAAAAAAACTACAAAGAAACATTCTACTAAAAATCTAGTAACATATTTCTTTGTAAATTACTTGTTCTTTCATTGTTGATTACATCATGTTTAAAAGAGATGAAATAATTTTGTAATCATTCATTACCTTGTTGTAAGGGTTGAGCCTAAGAAGGCTTATGTAAAAGAATACTTAGTTTTGAGCCTAGAGAGGCTTAGTTAAAAGAATACTTGGTGCTAAGCCTGAAGAGGTCTGTTTCCAAAGAAATAGAAGAGCAAGTAGTGAAACGTTTGAAAGTCTAGTTTATTGAGGAAGCCAAACAATAGACCTTAACAGATGCTAAATTAACTGCTCGTGAGGCCCAACAACTTGAGGCTACAATAAGTTTGTCGTTGGCACCATCATAGACTCTGGCTCAAGAAGAGCCTCAACTTCAATCTCTAGCTGAATAGGAGCCCCAACTTCAAACTCTAGCTCAAAAAGAGCTACAGGTTCAAACTTTGGCTCAATAGAAAGCCACACAAGTGTAGTGTGACACCCTCTACCCCAACATTAATACACAATAAATGTAAACAATAATTTTTTTTTTCCTTTTTGAGTAAATAAAACCTTTCATAGTTTGATAACATCTTTCATGGATAAAATAATTGTCTCATATCATAAGGTAGAAGATTCACATTCGTAACTCATAAATCATAAGAAGTCAACATATAAGTATCAAAACTCAAGAAATCATATAAAGGAAAATAAAGATTAATTCCAGCAAAGGTGGCAGTGCCTCCTAGTTAGGAATTAAATTATAACTTTCAAATCATATAATAAAAATAATATGACAAAGATACACATTTTGGTCTTTACTTGTTCTTTCATTGTTGATTACATCATGTTTAAAAGAGATGAAATAATTTTGTAATCATTCATTACCTTGTTGTAAGGGTTGAGCCTAAGAAGGCTTATGTAAAAGAATACTTAGTTTTGAGCCTAGAGAGGCTTAGTTAAAAGAATATTCATATGTCACTGGTAATATGTATATTCTATTATTTTTTTTGAAAATTTAGGATTATTTCCTATTCTTTCCTAGTTATGTGACATGTCTTTTTCAACATTGGGTATTTTTTTAATATATATTTTTATTCCTTTTAAACATTGTTACTCAAGTTTAATCTTAATTTGATTTAAATTTTAAATTTGAATATTGAGACATTATATCAAATTGGAATTCTTTCTTTTTATAGATCAATTGAACTTTACAATTATTGTAATCTTACTCAATCTAATTTGAATTTGATTTATAAAATTTGGCTTCAAATGATTTATTTTTATAATTTCCCCCTCAATTTTAAAAGTGTTCTCATTTTAATTTATTCCTATCTAATAAGATCAAATATTCATTATTAATATACCATTCTCTTTAATTTATTTTTTATTTATAAGGTTTCATTAAATTAAAATACCCGTGCAACACACGGGAAACTTGATAGTGTTATTTATATTCGTAATTTTGTATGACTCATGTTAAGACTCTTTGGATTCAATTGCATAGGCTGTGATACCTGGTATCATGAAAGAGAAATTTGTTCCTGTGGCAATTCTTTTCTCCGGTGGTCTGGACTCTATGATACTTGCAGCATTATTGGATAAATGCCTGGATCCCAGCTGTGAGTGGTTTGAAATTAACTTAATTTACCTGCTCCTGTGCTAATTATATGGTGCAATCTTAATGAGTTCCTTGTTTGGTTTTGAGATGCATAAAGTAGGAGAACTAGACACTAGTTGACTTGAGACATGTTTTAATTTGGGAACCATTAGTTAAGCTGAGTTTTTAATCTTTTTTTTTTTTAATTGACAGATGAAATCGATCTACTTAATGTAAGTTTTGATGGTCAGTTAGCTCCTGATAGAAAATCCGCCAAGGCAGGGTTGAACGAACTAAGAAGAGTTGCGCCTTCCAGAAAGTATGCAATCCATTGTTTTTCTTTCTTCTTTCTTGTTCCTTGAATTATTTATTATTTATTTTTGATTAAATGTACAAATTGACTTTTTAAAAAAAAAACTTTTTAAATGTTAAATTGTGGTCTAGTTAGTCTGTTTTGCAAGTACATATTGAGTAATATTAATTATTAAATTTAGGCTGTATGATGTTGAATTTACTGATTTTATTTGGGATGATTATTTTGAAAAAGAGAGAAAATCTTTCACATATTATTAGATCAAGTGTGTGTTTGAATGTGTATTGATAGAATTGGTTTTAAATCAATGTGATTTTGTAGAGTTTTTTATGATTAAAATTGATTTTAAAATAATTTGATTTTTGTTTGGTTAATAGATATTAGAAGTGATTTTTTAAGAAAATATTGTTTGGATATTTTGAATCAAAATTAATTGAGTGTGTAATTAATAAATTGGCTTTTAATGTCCTTGCATTTTTTTTTTCTATCATGATGATTAGCTATATATATACATATATGCCCGCGTACACACACATATATTGACAAATTAAGAAGAATAGGCATGCAGTAAATTTTTTCACTGCATGTTAATTATTAAATTAAAAAATATGTATAATATTTTAACTTTTGAAATAGAATTCATAACCCTTATAGAAACATTAAAATTGGTTATGTATGAGATTTTTTAATTTATATGGTCACTATATCAATTTGATGCATATATCTTTTAGTATACACCGAGACTTCAACAGTAAATATATCTTTTAAAAGGTAAAGCTAGTTTGGAACTATTTTGAGATCACCGATGCTTGAGGGTATAAATTGGTGAAAGTACTGTATGAGGGTATATTAGTGAAAATATAACAAGTAAAAGTTCAAAATTGATTTTGAATGAAGCAAAAGCACCTTCCTATTGCTTCAATCGCACCATGATCTTCCTCAATTGAAAGTGATGTTACTTTAGTAACCAAACTTCCAAAATTTGAGTGAAACTAGTTTAACTCCCATGGTTCACCATAATATCACCACCTAACTAAACACACTAAATTTTTCAGCTGGAAACTTTTTCTTGTTAAATTCTAAGAATAATGTCTTTTCCTTTGTTATGGGCATTGAAAAGGGTCTGAAACATCTTTCTAGTGAGATTGATATTGCAATTTGACTGGAAATGACTGCAACCTAATTTCAAATAGAATGATATTCAACCAAATGTTATTGTGGTATCTTGTTCCTGTATCCATACCGGGTACTAGTACTGTACTTGTATCCTTGCTACTTATGTTTTCAAAGACAGTGGCAGGGCTGATGGGTCATTGGTGACAAGAAGGGAGGCAGGAAAACTAAGTGATCGGAGATTTGGAAATAGATGTGTTGGTGGTACGGTGGTAGAACCAGTTCTGATTAAAAATGATGTAGAATGTGTAAAGAGAAAGGGAGAGAACAGAAATGGAAAATATTTTCACCATTTTTGAAAATAGTGAAAACAAGGTGGTAATTTTGTATTTGTCATTGAACACAAATTGAAAATGAAAATAGAAAACAAACCAAAAATCCCCTTAAGCAAGAAAATGAAGAAAATAGGGGACAGTAGACTGAGAATGGAACAGAACAGAAAGTGAGCAAAAATATTGACACTTAATTCAACATCAAATTAAAATGCAAATTAGTACACAGTAATCCTTGAATGAGCAAATTTTAATTTGATTACCAAGTAATTCTTAATTACTGGAACAATCAAATGGCCTAATTTATTAAAGATGTCCTAATAACCCCAAAATACTAAAAGTTCCAGATATACAATAATTTCTATCCTTCCCAATATTATTTCATGTACCTAATAATCCTACCATCCAATTTCTATTCCTCGTTCTCACTCTGATCTCATACTCCATGACTTGGTATCTTGAGTTCATGATGCTTATGGAAAGCTTAATTTGATGTCCGAGATTTATTGCATTAGTTTTTAGTTGCATGTAGGCTTTAGTATATGCTAGGTCTGTTAACTTCAAAACAAACGTGGGTCAATTACATGGATTAATTGGGCTGTATCAAGGAGATTCAAGAGAATTAACAAAGATATTCTTTTCTTGGTTGTGAACATTAAATACATCACTTACATTTCTAACATGCGTTATGATGAGTCTTATTTTTACTTTTGATATATATTGTTTGTCATTCAACTGGATTCTTATGTAGTTATATTTGACTGTTTGTTTAAACTTCTTTTATTTAAGAAATGTTTTTTTAAAATAAAATAAATAGTTTTACGCTTTTTTGATGTATTTGTCCAAATTGTTTATTTTTTTTAAAAGCAGAAAACTGTTTTTTTAAGAAACAAATTCTATCTGCTTCAAATTAATTTTTTAGAAAGCCTCTTTTTTTATAATCATTTTTTTAAGTTTAAACAAATGGGCCTATTGTTGTGAATTGTGATCATCCACCTATTTATTGAATGTGCTTTATGTCAAAATATCTTTTGTAGCATCTATCATGTTCAAGTGAAAGTGCATTGTAATTGCAGGTGGAAACTTGTGGAAATTGATGCTGACTTGTCAGACTTGGTGTTTGAAACTAGACATGTTATGTCACTCATAAATCCTGCCAACACCTACATGGTACTAATTAATCCTCTGGATCTGTAATTTATAATTTTTTATTGTGTCTTGTACAAACATTTCTAGTTTACTTTAAGTAAGTTGATTTGAAACCAACTGCGACTGTCATCCTGTTGAAAGGGCATATGCATATCATCAAAGAAGTCAATAGTGTGTGTTTGTATGCAGGCAATGATTTAGCCATTTAGTTATTTAGGGAAAAATGATTTTGTGAGAACAAAATTATGTGGAAGAGAGAGAGAGAGAGAGAATTGAGGAAAACCGTTAGAGGTTGAGAAGTCAAAATAACAGAAATTTAACTTTGTTAATTTCTAAGGATTTAGATACACAACAAGTTATAAAGACTTCATTAAATATTTTTAAACTGTAAGAACTTCAATTTAAAACTTGGTGAAACTATAGGAATGTATAGATTAATTTGACTAAAAAATATTAGCTGTTATTTAGTAAATTTATCGTAGCAAGAAGAGACAAACAAAGTAACAAACAATGCATACAAGGTTGAAAAGGAATGTAAAAAGGCAAATATATATAAGGTGGGCAATGGTTTCAGCAGATATATCATCTAAAAGTTATTAAAGTCTGTGCCACTGACCACGAGCTGCTTCTGCTTTAGTTCCTTTCTTGCTGAATGGATTCAATTTTTTTTAACATCATTTTAATGTTCCAGACAGGTGAAATGGAAATTTCAGACTGAAAATCCTGTAGTTAAGTTTTTTAACACCTTTAGTGTTTCTAATATGATGATTGGTTTGCTCATATCTTTTCAGGACCTTAATATTGGAATTGCTTTATGGCTTGCTTCTGGTGGTGATGGCTGGGTATCTGATGCAAATATATCTGATAATGATGACAACCATGTAAGGATTAAGTATAAGTCGAATGCAAAGATTCTCCTTGTTGGTTCTGGTGCTGATGAGCAGTGTGCTGGGTATGGGAGACACAGAACAAGTTATAGACGTGGAAGGTACTACTATGATTATGGTAAATTGTGTTTTAGCATTTTTGTTATACTTATGTTTACAACTTACGATGATAATATCATGTTGATTCTATGTTATAATGAATAAAACTTGTTTTTTCCTTTTTAATATTAGCTTGGATCTTATAATATTTGGTTCGAATGTCATTATTTATTTTTACATTTTTGCATTATTCATGGGCAATTTCATTTTAGAAAGTGAAAATTAATGCTAGACGTTTGTCTTTTCAACCGGAAAGAATATAATCCATATACTATACGCTGCTTTAATAAATTTTCCTCAGGTTTAAAGTGTTATTCAGCTCACTTTGTTTTTCAAAATGTTGAATAAACCCCTAATTTTCTTTTCCAAAGAAATCATCTTCATTGTCAAAAAATATTTATCATCAATATAGTTTCTCAATTATTCAAAGTGTCATCAAATTGCTCTTTCTTTGTTAGATTGAGAGAAATAAATGTTATTTAATCCTAATTTAGGGACTATTTTGACAACATTTTGCATGATTGAGGGGCTAAATTGATGACACTTAACATTATTGAAAGACTAAATTGATGACATAATATTTCAAGGACCAGAGAGTAAATAGGTTTCACTTAAATTTTTTTTATCAAACTGATTGATTATTTATTTAGAAGATTTGTCTTTTCTTTTTAATGTGGTAGTTTAATGTACTTCTACTATGAGAAGCAATATTATTGAAATTCTCAGGTTATCTTGTTAACTTAATAATGCTGATTAACTGTAGAATATACGTGCATTATCTTTTAATGCTTTCTGATGGTATAGTATGCCTTGATCAGTTGGCTGGGGCTACATGAGGAAATGAGACTCGACATGCAAAGAATTTGGAGAAGAAATTTAGGGAGAGATGATAGATGTATTTCTGATAATGGGAAGGAGGTAATATTCAAAATTCTATAAAAAAAATGAGAAATGATACATGTACTACAAAAAAGGATGTACAAAAATTTTTATCAATGGAGTCTAGCTCAGTTGGTTGAGCAGGGTGTGTGAGTATTGTGAACTTTCTTGTTATCAAGTTCAATTTCCATGAATAAAAAAAAATACATGTACAACAAATTTTAGTTTTGTACAATGAAGAGAGAAAAATTTGAAATGTAATAAATGACGTGATAGAAAGAGGTAGACACAAAAGGATGATGTACAAATTGTTGTATGTGTATCATTACTCGAAAATTATATGGACCTATCAGTTACTTATTAAGTTCTTTTTCCTTTTTTGTTTTGCTTCTATTTTTCCTTTAGGCTAGATTTCCATTCTTAGATGAGGATGTTATAAGACTTCTGCTCAGTATTCCATTGTGGGAGGTTGCCAACCTTGAACAACCTTGTGGCATTGGTGATAAAAAGATTTTAAGAGAGGTATTGCTATTTCTTTGTTTACTTTGAAGGATGTATTTACTTTTATCGTCTTCAACTGTTATTAAGTTACTGATGTCTGAATTTACAGTAATTGGATCATTTAATGGCCGACTTAGTTGACACTTTTTCAAGATCTTTTTCAATCACTTTGAACTGAATCCAGTGATATGAGTGTTTGGTTACACAAGCAAATATATGCCTTATGAATAAGTGCTGTTGCCTGAACTAAATCCATATTCCGTACATGGGAAAATTAAAAGCTTCTGGTCTAGGTTTGACTGGAAATGTGTTTTCCCTTAATATGTTTGACACCAATGGGTTGTATTTGACACCTCCCCCCCAACAAAATAAAAGAAAGAAAAAAAAAATATGCACACTCGAGAATATTAACCTCCAGTTGGTCATAAGTAATTCTGTTTATATTTAGTAGATAATGTACTAATTTGTTCTTGTTAAGGATAACTCCACGAGTTTGATGTTCTGTCTAAAAAAGCCAATTTTTCAGAGACACTTTATTTTACCAAATTAATCCCTTTCCTGTTTGAATTTTGAAGACTGAAAAAAGAAGAAAGGATTCCTAAACTTGAATCTTAATGTGTTTCTTGAAGGTTGCTGAATTGCTTGGTTTATATGAAGCAGCAGTTCTACCAAAACGAGCAATCCAGGTGTGCATCTCTGAAACTTTACACTTGAATTTTACTTGATGTAAAATGTACAGTTGAGTTCTATAACTATGCAAAACCATTAAAGCACTCAACGCTCAGCAAAATAGTTTCTTCAGAAAAACATAAAAGAAACATAACAATTTTTCTTACAAACCGTTTCTGAAGAAACTAGTGTGCAAGGAAAAAATAGTCAGAGGATGCAACTTCACTAGATCAGGCAATGACTACTATATTTATATAAGTTGCACGTATGTGTGTAGCTTGGTTAATTACCACTCTTTTGCATATTGATTGATGTGTCTTTCGATGATATTTTCATTGTTGTAGTTTGGTTCAAGAATTGCAAGGGAATCAAATCGGAAGAATTTTGGAAGCAATCGAGCAGCAAATCAGGCGTCTGCTGGCAGTGTAAGGATTTATGGGAAATCCAATATTTGTTGATTCGTTTTGGTTTTGTCTCGTGGTACACTTCTTTTTCTAACCCAGATCAACAATAGAGGTTGTTGTTTGAAACTGCGTGCCTATATATACGATTAAGAAATTGGATTGCATCGTGGTACTTCTTGACATATGATGCTAGGTGGTAACCCTAGAGGTCTCCTTAACGCCAAAACTTCTGCGCGCTTGACCTCAAACGTGCTTATCGATCACTTTTGATCTAGTCTTGACTGGACGTGATTGTGAAATTAATTGTATGAAACAAGGTTGTGATGTTTTTTTTTATGAACAACAATGTAATTATAATTTTTTTAAATTAAATTACCGATTATTCTTTTGAAGTTTCAGATATAGCATATTGCTAAATAAATGTATATGGAATTATAGCTCAAGTGATATGAAAGAAATTGAACATTATTTGAATTTGTTTAGCACGTAATATTCAAATATTCAATAACTTAAGATTGTATTTTAAGTTTAGCAAATAGTTTATAATGAGCTGGAAGCAGAGCAACTTCAAACCGCAGATTTTAGAATGTGTAGAAGTCACTTTGAGACCTTCACTGAATGAAATAAAATTAAGGACAATTAATATACAATTAAAATTATTTTAATTAATGATCTTGATTGTTTAAATTAAAAATTTGTATTGAAGAAAAACCAAATTTCATATCGATCAATAATAAGGTTAAAATATAGTATATAAGTTATAAGGAATGAGATAAGAGTGTTCTCAAATTCCATTTTCATGTGTTAAAATGATACTTGACCAACATAAATATGTTTTATAAATGCAGATTAGTCTTTCATCGTTAGTTTTGAGACACTATATCAATTATGTCTACAGAAAAAAAAATACAATATGAAAAATAATATGCCCTTCAAGATGGGTTTTATAGGAATGAGCAAGAGATAAACTCGCGTTTTAAACAATTGCCGAATTGCGTCATTTTACAAAATTTTGAGATGTTTGGAACATTAGATTGGATTTCTTAAAGAACTGATCAAAATCTGTATAAATCGGTAAATAAAAATCTCGGTAACTTGGAACAGTTAATTAGAATAGATTGGGTTTAATAAAGAACCGATCATAATCTGTATAAACTGGTAAATAAAAAAATCTCATACTGGCACTCGTAGGTGTTATGAGCAGGGTTTTCTAAATAAATTCACGCAAAATGAGAGAAGGGCTGGTGAGTACCTTAAAAAGTTTCCTTGTAAAGCTATGGCACAGCTGGTTTCTTACTGAGTGGGAAAAGCTTCTTAATTAATGATCGTATATTGAAACAGCTCAATATCTACATTTTTTTTATACTTTATATGGAAATAATCCCAATTAAATTTGCACTAAATATGATTTTATTTTTAGTTTCTATAAATAAGGAAGTTTTGATTTTAGTAGTTATGTACTATCCGTATCACGACAAGACATCGACCAAAACAAAGGCCCACTATTTGAACGGATCACAACCGACCTCGGGTCCAGGACCTAGATAAATCCTAATTCATACTAAGGTACGTGCACTACATATACGAGATCCATACACCCACAAAGACTAACTTTAGCATCGGAGTCTCTTTGGCATGTACCACCCCCACTTCGGAACAGCCGACGTACCCAGCGAAGGAGGCTCACCAATCTTGCCCAGCAGATCGTCCTTCACGACCGATCTCCGGTAAGAATATTTGGCGCCCACCGTGGGGCCGATCAAGACATCTCTTATCGGCCACGCTTATGATTTTCACCCGAAGCCATAGTAGACGAGTAACAAACGAACAAGATAACGCAACAAGAATGGAAGGAGAGGCGACATTGAAACGGCTGATCGAATAAGTCGATCAAATGCGACAACAACATACTGCTGACCTGGAGAACATGCGCGCTCGCCACGAAGCCGACCTAGTGGTGCTACGAGCTGAGAACGAGCGCATCCACGCTCAGCTTCCTCAGCGCCCCCAGATCAGCCCCCTCAACCGAGCAATCAAAACGAGGAAGAATGGAACTCGATTTCCCAGCCACCGACTGCACCCCGGGCTACGACCCATAGGTCTACCGCACATCGGTCACATGTACCGATGTATCGATCCGACCATGAAGTCAGCAACGCACAGGCCCAAGCTCCAAGACACAGGGTGAGCATTCGCCGTCACCCTTTTGTTGACGGCATCATGGAGACGCCTCTCCCTTTTGGATGGAAGCCCCTCAACATCGACTGCTATGATGGCACCACCGACCCAGACGAGCACGTCGATCTGTACGTCACGCAGGTGAACTTATACACTAATGACGATGCTATTATGTGTAGGGTTTTTCTGACCTTGCTTAAGGGATCGACACTTGCCTGGTATACTCAATTGCTAGTGGGATCAGTCGACAGCTTCGACACTCTGGTGAGGCGATTCATGGCGCAGTATGCAACAAGTCAACTGCATCACATCACGTCCACCACCTTGGCCAGCCTCAGACAGGGCGATGACGAACCACTGAGGAAGTTCATGGAGCACTTTGTCGGCATCTCCGTCAAAATCCGCAACCTGAACCCCGAGGTCGCCTTACACGCCATGCTCATGGCACTCAAGCCAGGACCTTTCGTTGACAGCCTTTATCGACGACCTCCCCCGGACATGGATGAACTCCGTGCCCGAGCTGCCGGGTACATCCAGATGGAAGAACACACCACATTCCGTGACCAAGTTTGTGGAAAACCACAGGGGAAGCAAGACCATGGCCACAAAGATAAGGTGAGAGTCACCAACGACAACCAATTCAAGAAGGCTACACCGAACAAAGGCGGGAAGTACGACTTCTACACCCCCTTGAATGCACCCCGCGTACACATACTAGAGGAGACTAGTAATACCGACCTGATTACTCTGCCACCACCAGGGCACAACCCTAGTAGCGCGAACAAATCCAAGCATTATCTGTATCACATAAACTATGGTCACACGACCGAGGAATGCAGCACGCTTAGGGACCGCATCTACAAGAACAACAAGGGAGTGAGAAACATCTCACTTAGTTTCAGGTGAAGAAATTAAGGTTGGATAGCACACACACACACAACAAATATAAGTCACATGTAAACAATACACATACATAATCAATATCAAATATACACTTATTTATCATGCAATGATGTCAAGGACTCGACTCATATATGCATGCATGTGGCGCCATACGAAAGTTTCACATATCATCACTGGTGACCCTAAGACACACCTGGTTACATCACTGGTGACCCTAAGGTACACCTTGTTAGCATGTTACATCGTGGGTGACCCTAAGGTACACCTTGTCAGTCGTGGGTGACCCTAAGGTGCACCTTGTTAGTCGTAGGTGACCCTAAGGTACACCTTGTTAGTCGTGGGTGACCCTAAGATACACCTTGTTAGCATAACTGGTATGCGGCCTCAGCAGCACACCTGGAGTAATATATGCATATGATGCATGTCATACATTCATAATTTCATTGACTCGACATTTAACTTATTACAGAATTTCATTTAGTACATCATGTCATCATTTTTCATGTTCTTATAATCATAGCTTGTCTCAATAGTCCATTTTTATGTCTCATGTCATTGGTATATATTTCACATGGTCAAGTCATAAATACTTCTCATAAAGTCTGCACAGGAATTCACAGAGAACATTCTTATTTATATTAAAACTTATTTATTTTTAACATTAATTACGTATTCATTTATTATTTCCAACAAGGAACAAAGTAAAGCAAACAGAAAGTAAAACAAAACAACAGGCAAGGGATTGGGGGCCAATCCGACAATCAAACTATCCAACAATTATCCCCACACCCACGAGCGAGGTTCCTCACTCCCCCCTTACCTGGATAAGCAGGAGCTAGAACTTGGGCAGGACCTCCTCCTCTGGATTCCCTCTTTCTTTCCCTTTCTTTCTCTTTCTTTCTTTCTTTCTTTCTCTCTCTCTCTCCCTCTCTCTCTCTCCCTTTCTCTCTCTAAAATTTTCACCTTCTCAGTCAGTATAATTTTTTTCACCCCCTCCCTCCTATTTATAGGCATCCAGGGGTTCCCGGAACGGCCCGTACTGAATCTGGAACGGCTCATTCCGGAGCCTTCGATCATATACAAAAATTGCAACTGGAACGGCCCATTCTAAAATCAGAACGGCCCGTTTCCAAAAAGCAGAACGGCCCGTTCTAAAATTAGAACGGCCCGTTCTAAAATTAGAACGGCCCGTTCTGGAGTTCACTTTTACACAGATTGACCACAAGGAGAACGACCCATTTCCAACTTAGCTTTTTAAACATTTTTCTTACTCTGGAACGACCCGTTTCACTTTGGGAACGACCCGTTCCAGAAAAACCCAAATAGGCCTTTGTACAAATTCGGAACGGCCCGTTCCACTTTTGGAACGGCCCGTTCTGCCACTTTGAAAATAACTTATTTTCATTGTTTGGAACGACCTGTTCCACTTTTGGAACAGCCCGTTCCAGCCTAAAAAAAATAGAATTTATAAAAATTTTCATAAATAATTTAAATTATTAAAAACCTTTACAATATTTTATAAAAACCCCTTTTAATTAACTAAAATAACTATAAAAAATAATATTCATAAATATATAAAAATAGATAATAATTGATATTGCAATAGTAGAAATTCCAGGATGTTACATGTAGGACGCACTAGATCCACAAGGTTAGGAGGCACCCTATATAGATGCTTAGGGGGAGCCTTCATTTGATGATCTTGCTCAGGCTCATGAGGCTGACATCGAGGCCATGAGAATTTATCCATCTTGTCTGACACCATCTTAGTCTGCTCTCTAATTTCCAACTTTGGTAGAGCCTCCATGGAGTAGGACGGTAAATACTCTTTCAATAGAGGTAATTTTTAATGTAATACCTCTGAATGTTGACTACTCTATGGTGAAAACAAACATGAGAGCTCCCCAAGATTTTGCATCGTCTGTTCCACCATTTGATGATTTTGAAAGTGGTAGCCTAGACTCTAAGGAGGAGCAAGAAATGGAAAGAATATAGGAGGAGATGTCCTTAGATGATGATTGGGTACCTTTTATCTATGACTCGACCAAACACAGTGAATTCCTCAACTTCATCGAATTTGAGCACATGCATCTCATTGAGGCACCTAGCATAAGCATTAATCCTCTTATAGTTAAGCAGGTGGTTAGAAGGGAGATTTATCTCCAAAACCGTTCTTGGTTGGATAGGAAAACCATGAGGATAGTCCAACAACAAGCTAAGATGTAGAATATGCTAAATTCTCGAGCTGTAGTGGAACTAAGCCTAAAAGGCACTTCTATGAACCTCCCTTCCATGCTTGAAGAGCCTTATAAACCATGGATGCTTCAACAATGGACCAGGTTCTATACTAAAGACATTGTCTCCAAACCTTCTCTTCACTCAACACATAAAGAGAAGGAGAAGATGCCTTAGTATATGCTAATAGACACTATGCTCACTATGCTAGGCACCACACCTTTCAAGAGCCCATGCTCGCGTATGACCAACTAGAATAACTACCTTAATCTAAAGGTCGATGCTACATGGTTTATCCTCCACCTTGCCAAACTGAGCCATCCCTCTCCCACATTCTTTCTTTCCGACAATGACTGTATCATTACAATTCCCCTTTCAATTTTACTTTTCATATTTTCTTGCTAGGGAATATCATTTTTCTGTACAGGAAAATGTTTAGGTTGCTTGCCCTTGAGTCTTTAGGACTGTTTGCTGCACCACCATCATCACCACCACATTCTCAAACACTTCCTCCCCTAGCTATTGAAGAGCATCGAGATCAGGTCATCACCAGGCTTTACAGGGCTTTGCACTACTCATTAAATAGACAGACATAATTTGAGACAAAGTTCAACAAGTTGTTGTCTTGCCTCAATATTAATTTGAGCTCCGATGAAGACAAAGCCTAATCTGGCCTAGATTTATTGTTGGCCTAACCTTTACTGTTTTTTTTTCCTTTTTGAGTAAATAAAACCTTTCATAGTTTGATAACATCTTTCATGGATAAAATAATTGTCTCATATCATAAGGTAGAAGATTCACATTCGTAACTCATAAATCATAAGAAGTCAACATATAAGTATCAAAACTCAAGAAATCATATAAAGGAAAATAAAGATTAATTCCAGCAAAGGTGGCAGTGCCTCCTAGTTAGGAATTAAATTATAACTTTCAAATCATATAATAAAAATAATATGACAAAGATACACATTTTGGTCTTTTATCAATAACGTTTAAAATTACAAAAGAAAGATTATAAACTTTATTTACGTTATTTCTTCGCTAGAAATTACAAAAGAAAAGAAATTAAAGTTATTAAAACAATAACATATTAGACTAGGCTAGCTATGTCCCGATGTCACATCCTATCAGAACATGCTCAATTGAAGCCTTAAGTCTCATCACCAACATTCCTCATGATGATGATCACCTGCAACATAATTTAAACATATACAAGAACAACAAGGGAGTGAGAAACATCTCACTTAGTTTCAGGTGAAGAAATTAAGGTTGGATAGCACACACACACACAACAAATATAAGTCACATGTAAACAATACACATACATAATCAATATCAAATATACACTTATTTATCATGCAATGATGTCAAGGACTCGACTCATATATGCATGCATGTGGGAACTCGTCCAAGGAGGGCACCTTGGACAATACGTCCAACGACAACAATGTCACAGAGGAGACTACCATGGACGAGGACGAGGACGAGGACGGGGCTCTGGCACTCGCACTGATCAACCCTCCAGGTCTCAACAAAACATCGGCGGGGCAGTGCAGGCCGAGGTAGGTCATGATACAGGAACGACTCCCTTGCATGGAGTCATCAATACAATTTCAGGTGGCTTCGCAGGGGGAGGCTCCAGTAGCTCGGCGCGCAAAAGACACTTATGGAGCATTAACAGCATCCACATTGACACCTCGGCCCCGCACCGCAACACACCACCCATCACCTTCACGGATGATGACTACACTGGCATTTGCCCAAACCAAGACGACCCCATGGTCATCGCGGTGGAGGTAGCTAACTGGGAGGTCCACAAGACGTTGATTGACCAAGGAAGCTCAGCCAACGTCCTGTATTGGCCAACATTCCTAAGGTTGGACGTCCCCCATTCCCTGATCCAACCTCATACAGAGCCCCTAGTTGGTTTTGTAGGTGAACGAGTCCACACCTGGGGATACATCGACCTGCTAACAACCTTCGGGACCCCTCCCGACTCAAGGAAGATCATGGTCAGATACCTCCTCGTTGAGGCCAACACGTCATATAACATTATCATCGGTAGGCCGACGTTGAAACAACTTGGAGCTGTGGTATCTACCCCGCACTTGACGATGAAATTCCCAAGGAGCAACGACAAGATAATCTCAGTTAGGGAAAATAAAAAAATAGCTCGGCAATGCTATGCCGAGAGCCTAAAGGCCTCACCTTTAGAGAAGCACTATCGAAGTGACCCCCCTACAGTAGCTCACATAACCCAAGCTGACGTCACTGACCTAGATTCAAGGACGGAATCCCATGACAACCAACCGAGTCCAATTGACGAGCTTGCTGATCTGCAAATCGGAAAACTCCCTGGCCAGTGCACCAAGATAAGCTAACATTTGAGCATGGAGTTGGGGCAACAACTTGTAGCTGAAATCTTCAAAAAAACCCGACCTCTTTGCATGGTACAGCGCCGACATGCTAGGTATAGACCCTAACCTTATCTGTCACAGGTTGGCGATCCATAAAGAAGCCAAACCAGTGGCTCAGAGAAAACGCAAAGTCGGTGGGGAAAGACGAGAAGCCATCGTGGCTGAAAAGCAAAAATTGTTGAGAGAAGGCTTTATCCGAGAAGTCAGATACACTACTTGGCTAGCCAACGTAGTACTCGTCAAGAAACACTCGGGCAAGTGGCGCATGTGTGTCGATTACACTGACCTGAAAAAGGCATGCCCAAAAGATGCGTACCCTCTGCCGAGCATAGACAGGCTGGTCGACGGGGC